CCCCACGCCTGCCTCTTGCCACCCGCTTGCCCAGGGTCACACAGGTGTAGGAGTGGGACCCTGCTGGTCTGATTTTAAAGCCGGCAGGCCTCCCCTGAAGCTATGCAGCCTCCCCAGGGCACGAGTCGGGTGGCAGCTCTGTCCCAGCCCCCTGTCACCTCCTGGCAGTGAGCTGCACGGAGGGTGAGCTGCTCCGAGGATGGGGTCAGGCCAGGGTACGGTCCCTCTTTGTCACTCTGACAGGTCAGCCCCGTTCTGGCGTCTAGCCACGCCAGTAATCTACTGTGCACACAAGACACGGCAGCCTCCGGCTTTGGAGGGGCACAGAGGGAAACTGACACTGCCCCAGGATGCATGGCAGGGACACATCTTCCTCGAGGTCCCCGGTGAGACCGTAAATGGCAGGGGCCCCGCCTAACTGGCTCTGGAGTCCCAGACTGATGGAGCACAAGGCAAGTCCGTGTCCAAGCAAGATCTACGACGCACACGAGCCCGTCCAGGGCCGCGCTCGCGCCCGCCCGTCATCTTTCAGCCGAGACACAACCCTGGGCTGACCCTGAGGTCACTGCCGACAGAAGGCCGGACACGGCTGGCTGGGCGAAGAGCCAATGGTTAAGGACAGGAGAGAAGCACGTGGACACATGGTTCTTTCCTTTGAGAATGAGAAGGTCGGGCCAACCCGGGGCTGAACAGGCTGGAACGGAGGGGGCTTTGTAGGGGCACCGCTCTCCAGGTCTGACCACCCCCCCGGCCTCGTCCTCAGCACCCGTTTGGCTCCCCAGGCACATGAACGTCAGAGTAAGGGCGGAGGGGGCAGGGACACAGGCCCGGGCTGGGTGGGGGTCCCCAGCTCGCTTGTTTATCCACCGCTGGCCGAGCTCCCACCACGAGCTGGGCCCCTGTTCTGAGGACTCACAGGCACACCTCGGAGATGCTCTGCTTCGCAGATACTGCGTCTTTACAAACTGATGGTTTCGGGCAATGCTGCTTTGAGCCATTTTGCCCACAGCCCTGGCTCACTTCGTGTCAGTGTGTCACATTTGGGTAATTCTCGCACTAGTGCAGACTTTTTCCTTTTCATCATGTGTCTTTGTCCTGGTGACCTATGACCGGGGTCTCTGATGTCATCACCATGACGCACTGAAGGCTCAGAGAGTGCTTAACATTTTTAGCAATAAAGGGCTTTTAATTAAGGTCTACACGTAGTCTTTTAACCATAATGCTACTGCATGACAGACTACAACGTAATGTAAATACAACTTCATATGCCCTGGGAAACCAAAAGGTGCGTGTGACTCGCTTCACTGTGACCCTTGCTGTGCTGCGGCGGTCTGGAACCAGACCCGCAACATCTCCGAGGTCTGCCTGTGCGTAAAGTCTCCAGTGCTGGATGATGCTGGCTGCCTGGGGGTGGGGACATCGGAACTGGAAGACGAAACGTTGAGTGGGTGCACCTTCAGATAAGGTTTAAGGCCAAGAAGGCAGCGTGTGAACAATTAACTGAGGGAGGCAGGGCGGGGGGCTAGGGGTCCAGTGGGGAGAGAGTTCCAGCCAGAGGGACGGCTCGCCAGACCCACGGGGCTGTTCGAGCGCAGATGGAGTTGGGGAGGGTGGGGTGATGGGTGGTCTCAGGCCTACAGGCACGGGGGCTCTGGCTCCCGCTCCGGGTGCGTGCTTCAGCAGAGAATGGCATAAAGAGAGTGACCGTCACCACTCTGACCGCCTGTGTCCCGTCCCACTTACCCCAAAGTGACTGTGGGGCCACTGTCACCCCGTCACTCCGAGGAGGCAGCCTGCACGGCGGTGGCATTCGGACCCGGACTTGCCGACCAGAGCTGCTCCCCGGCTCCCGGCCCCACACGTGGGGGACCCAGAGGCTGGTAGGGGTTTTGAGCTCAGGGAAGACAGCCCCTCCGTGACACACACCCCAGCCTGGGCTGGCGGTGAACGCAGGCATCACGGCAACGAGCCCAGAGCCCCGGGTCTCCTCCCACCAAAGGGAGCAGGAGAGGATGCCCCCTGCAGGGCTTGCGGGGCGGGCGGGAGAGTGCCCTGAGGCCGCGCGCAACGTAGCCGGCAGGCCCCAGCCCCCAGGGGCCCACGGAGGGGACCACACGCTCGTCTGTTTTCGAGCTGGTGGTCAGCGGAGCCCACCACCCTCCGCCAGAGCAGCAAGAGGACAGGCAGGACCACGGCCGCAAGGACAGGAGGCCCCGAGGCACAGCCAGACGGCCGCTTGCTCCCAAGCCCCAGGCACCGAGTCTGGCGCCTCCCCAGGATCTCGCCGCCCCAGCTGCAGCTTCTGTTAGACGCGTGGAGGAGGCACACGGACCGTGCCCGGCTAACTGTGGAGAGGTGAGACCACTCCACGCCCAGAAACGGCCCCAGGAGCCACAGGCCCTCGGGGCCACCCCGCCGGAACAGGGCTGGACACACCCTGGGGCTGACCGCAGGCTGCGGTTGGAAGAGGAGGCACTGAGCTTGGAGCTGGACAGAAGCAGGGTCTGTCTGTGGGCCCAGCCCCCAGGCACAGGGAACGAGGCACACACAACGGTGCTGATGCGTGTGTGGGCAGCAGGGATGCAGAGAACCCAGACTGGCCTCGGGGCCTTTGCACGGTGGTTCTACCTGCCTGGGGCAGCCTCAGCTCGGCCCTTCTCGGCAGACACCCCACCCAGGGGCCTGAGCCTGTGTGAGCCCCTCACGTTGAAGGGGCTCCTGGTCCCAGCCCTCTTTTACCTCCTCCATGGTACTTCTCGCCCTCCCGTCCACCTGGTCTGCTGTGGGCCTGCTGGTTCCCTGTCCGCTCTGAGGGCAGGAGCCTCCCTGTCCCAGGGAGTCTGCATTCCAGAACCGGACATGTGCCTGGCACAGGGAGCGAGGGGTCCAGCAAACACAGGCTGACAGATGAAGGAAAGAAGCCTCGCTCCCCTCTGAGAAGGGCTGGGGCCGGGGCCGGCCAGCAAGGCATGTGCACGCCAGACCCCGCCCGGAGGCCTTCCGAATCCTCCACGTCCAGTCATCTGGTCTTCAGGGTCTCAGGGTGGAGGCTGCCCTGGGGGTCATCTCACATCCCTGCTCTCAGGGACCCCAGTGACCTTCCCCCCCTCCCTGCAGTGATGTCAGAAACACAGCCGGCAACCCCCACACCGAAGAGAAAGCTGCGGCACTGACCACACACCTGCCCTCGGACAAGAACCCCATCTTAGCACCTCGTCACAGAGGAGAATGACACAGGGAGGCGGCCAGTCTGGGACCGGAGAGGCTCACATCCGCTGGGCGCTGCCCCAGCAGCTGAGATGCACGGGAGCCCTCCGGGTTCTGGGCCCCCGCGTGTCGAATGCAGACAGAGCGCCCAGGTGTGGGAGAGCGTGGAGGTGGGGGCGCGGCTCCAGGCTGTGCCCAACCCCCCGAAGCCACTCACCACCTGCTTGTTCTGCTGCAGCAGCGGGCACGACAGGTCCAGCTGGGGGCTGGCATAGACGGGCGTGAGGGTCAGCCGGGACGGCGGGGCGCAGACGAACTTCACCACGGCGGGCTCCAGCGCGGGGAACGGATTGGTGATGCTGGGCTTGTTCCCCACAGAGAGGGCGATGACCTGGCGGAGCAGAAGCCGCCGTCAGACACCCCGAGTCTGAGCCCCTGCTCCCCTGGGGCCCCCTCGGACTCAGTCTGCTCTTCTATAGAATGGGGACGATGGTGACATCCGGTCCCAAGGGGGTACAAGGATCCAGGGACACATGCAAGAGACCTTCCGACAGAGTCCCGGCACCCTCTGCAATTGCCCGCCAGAACTGCTGCCTGCTCCTGGACCCAGAGAAGAGGGGGTCTGGGGGTGCCATGCGGCTTCCTAGGACCCGATGGAAACCCCAGGGCTGCACTAGCAGGCTGACAAGTCTATGGGCTTGGAATGAGGAGTCCACACAGACTTGAAGACACGCATCACAATGAGGAGCAGGTCGGGGAGGGTGTGTCTGAAGGACTGAGGCCCCCGGCGAAGGACCAGCGAAGGCCTACGGGCGGCGGGGCAGGCAAGGACGAGCTGGAGGCCCCGCCCTCACTCTGGCTCTTAGAGAAAGACGCAGAGATGGATGCTCAAGGGGCGAGGAAAGACAGGGAGGTTCACATCTGCTTCCAGAGCCGGGACCTCAGCAGTCAAGTCCAGCCCTCGTTTCTGGAGCAGCCTGGCTCAAGGCCTGTCTGCAGGGAGCCCCGGCCCCTCGGTGACGGCTGGAACCGTCCAGGCCAGAAGCCCCCCCACCGACCACGAGGCAGGACGGCAGGCAGTTTCCTCGCTGAACCCCGACGTCCCACAAGGCACACAGCGCATCCGGGCGGGGGGCCCTGGGCGACCCTGCTGGGCGCCCAGCTCCCATGGTAGGGGGACACAGGTGGCTGAGCCAAGTCAGCACTGAGGAACTTCTCTAACTTCAGTTTTGACTGAGTTTACTCTTACTGTGGTATATTTATTGTTATGTAATTTACTTTTCTTACTCTCTAATCACTTTTTTTCCAAGCGAAGCCAGTGTGCAATGGGCCCCTCCTCTGCTCACGGCAAGCCGATCTCCGCGAGGCCGGCTTCATAAGGGCGCCTGGGGGGCGGGCGTGTGTTTCACCATCGACTGCCGTGCTTTCAACCGTTAAACACACAACGGCGTCCTTCACCCTCCAAGAGACAGGCTCTCTCCTGTCTTTCTTGATTCAGGCTGGCCTCCCCCCTGCTTCTTGCCTCCTGGCACCCTCAGAACAGAGGGTTACCCCCCTACCACAGCCTGACGAGCACGCAGCGCTGAGCCGGGGACAGCGGGCACAGGGGACCGGGGCGAGCTGCCGCCCCGTGCAGCCCATCCAGCCCCACGGGCTCCAGGTCACAGAGGCCCTGTGTTTGGTCCACCAAGGCTCCTAGCCTTTTTTGGTTTTCAGCATTAAAAAAAAAAATCAAGATATTTCATACACCTGCAATTAATATACTACTGTAAATCAACTATACTTTAATTTAAGAAAGTATTTCCAAAGAAAAACTGGGATTCTCAGTTTATCCTGAAACACCAGAAAGATCTGCCCAACCTGGGTCTGGAGTCTCACTCACTCACAAGACCATCTGGCCCTGGAGGCATCTGACTCTCTGACCCTGATCCCCACCCTCCCTGCCCTGACTTCACAGTGCAAAGTACAGACACCTGGAAAGAGGGGAGGTCACCCCAGGAGTGGAAAGGGAGCCAGGACTGGTCAGCTCTACTGAGGTCCTGACATCTGCACCACACTCATCCCACCTGGTATTCACTCAGTCATCCTGTTGCCCTGATCCTCAGTTTGCCTGTCTGTGCAATGGGTACAGCGGCTGCAGCTGCCTCTCAGGGCAAGGATTAGATAGAACGATGCTGCAGAACACAGCAGGGACCTCAGGGAACGTGACCTCCAGCTCTTCCTCTGGGCAAGGTGGGTCTGGGGGTGGCCGCCCTCGTACCTGCTCGCCCAAGACCTGGCAGGTCACCAGGATCCAGTGTTGCTGGTAATTCCGGGAGGCTGGGGGCCCAAAGAGAGCCAGACTGATGCTGTCCATGTCCTCGGAGGTGACGTTCCGGAAGAATTTAGAAGGCTCCAGGACCCACGGTCTGGGGCCTCCTTCGAAGAGCATCTCCTTTGAGGAGCCGAGAGTCACCAAGGCGACAGAGGAGGGGTCCACGGCCTGCGGGATCACAAAGAAGTCAGTGTCTCTCTGGGAGGAGAGGGATGGGAGGCTCCCCCAGGGCCATCGTCAAGATCCAAAGGCGAAAACAGAAAGAAAAGGACACTGTGAACTCATCTACCAAACAGAAACAGACTCACAGACATAGAAAACAATCTTACGGTGGGAAGGGATACAGTTGGGAGTCTGAGATTTACCAATGTTAGCCACTACATATAAAAATAGATTTAAAAAAGTTCCTTCTGTCTAGCACAGGGAACTATGTTCAATATCTTATAACCTTTAATGAAAAAGAATATGGGAATGAATATATGTGTGCATCGTATCTGCATGACTGGGACACTGTGCTGCGCACCAGACTGACACACTGTGACTGACGGTACTTCAACAACAAAAAAAAGGTATCCGAGTGCTCGGGAGGAATCCGTCCTGGCTCCGATGTACCGCCGGGGAGGGCGGGGGGTTAACTGACCTGCCCATTCTGTAAAACAATCTGGTAAAAGCCCTGAAAATACCCACAGCTCTTGACCCCGGGAACTGCCCGCCTGGACTCCAACCTGACAGGGCAGGAAGGAGAGGAGGAAGTCCACACACAGAGAGACGTTCAGCACGTGGCTCATCACAGCAGGGCACCAGCGGAACAAGGGCCACGGCACGGGGCTGGCTGAGCACACGCCTACGTCCACTCGTCGGACCTTCTGCGGGGCCCCGAGGCAGCGCTTCCAAAGAGCTGGGGACAAAGCTGACCGTACAGTTTGACCACAACCATGTTGTTGCGAAAAGCATAAAACCATCATCCTAAAAAGAAACACGCCAGACAAGGGAGGCCGAGGGCTGTGCTCGTGCTGGAGGACCTAGTGGCTCGTTTCCCTTACGCTGTCCTCCCCCGTCCTTCCAGGGACAACCTTCCTGCCCGCTCTGCTTCCAGCACCCAGAACAGCGCCTGGCACACAGCAGGTGAATCAAAGAGTGGATATTATGAGTGGGTCTGTCGGGGCCTCACCCTCGCCCCGCATGGACAGCGGAGAGGCTGGCAGCCCCGCCCAGCAGCGGCGGGAAGGAGAGCTCTTCCGGGAAGACGCGGTTTGCTCCACGCGAGGAGACACAGACACAGCGGGAGCTCCAAGAACGGCGTCCCTCCGCGGGGTCCTGCCCTGCTCCCCGGACCCCTTGCCCGGGCCTGGCTCATCTCCCACTCCCAAGGGTCCCAGCGAGGTCACCACCAAGTCCTTACTCGTCACCTGCCTCCCTGTGAGTCCCTCTGCTCTAGGCTCCGAGAGCCAGAGTCCCCTCCTGAACAGCTCTGAGCACGACCCCGCTGAACAGAACAACATCGGGCGCCTGCCGCCCTTGGTTACCTGCCCCTGGTTGGGCTCCCCCCACCCGGCCTAGCCTCCTCTCCCCCTCATCCTTTTGTCAGACTACTCTGTCCCCAGGCCCTCGTCCCCCGGCCCACTCCTTCATCCAAGAAGCCCCCACGTCCTCCCTCACCTGGTGATGCCCGGCTGGCCAGGGTGGGGGGGTCCTTCTCTGGTCTCTGCTTTCCTTGGTGTTAAGAAATGATTTGTTTGGGCGTCTGTCGCCCTGACTGGCCTGTGGGCTCATGAAAGGAACGGTGTGTCTGTTCCTCCTGTACCCACAGTGTGATGAGAAATGAAAAATCCGTACGGAAAAAATTAAAATACTTTTAAAAGAGGGAATTACAGCTACATTGTGGCACTACTTCTCAGCCATCTGATTGGGAAAATCCAAAAGTCTGAGCGCACACACTGCTGGTGGGTCTGTAAAGAAACACGGCCTCCTTTATAAAATTAACTGGGTAACTTACTTTCTGGGACATGAGAGACATGCAGCCTTGTATCGGTTTCACTAGCACCACGTAACGATTTGGTATTTGTACATACGGTGAGATGATCGCCACGGTCAGTCTAGTTCACACCCGTCACCACACAATGTCACACTTTTTTTTTCTTGGGATGAGACTGTTTAAGATCTACTCTCTTAGCAGCTTTCAAATACACCGCACAGTGTTCCTGTCAAACGTGCTCTCACACCCTGCCAGGAAGACGGAAGAATGGTGCAGCCCCAAGGGGGAGTCTGGCAACAGCTATTAAAATGACAGCCATACCATCCCTGCCCTTGTCCAAACCAGACTCCTTCTAGGAAACGATGCTGAAGACACGCCTCCACAAACACACAAAAGAGAGGCAGAAAGCTGCGAACTGCAGCGTTATTTTTAAGAACCAAAGCTTGGAAACAGCCCACAGGCCCCTCAGCAGGGGGCTGGTTAGGTAAACTGCAGTCCTTCCGTCAAGCCGAACGGCCAGCAAAGATCTTCCCGGGGGGTAAGAAGAGATTCCCAGTTTATTTTCCTTACTTTCCAAGCAAAGAAGCAACATGTGCAACAGGAGACACTGCCTTCTGCGTAAGAGAGGAACAGGCAGGGCGTAAGGACATACAATCATTCTTGCCAGTTTTGCAAAAAGAAACACTGAAAGGAGAATGCGGAAACTAATCAAAATAGTCATTGACCAGAGGCGGGGCAGGGATGGAAGCGAGACTCCAGGGTGTACCTCAAACACAGGTTTAATTTTGGAACCACATAAACAACTTAGATAAAATAAAGCTAAAAAAAAAAGCAAACTCTAAAACTGAGAAGGAAAGGAGACAAGTGATTCTGTGACAGGTCGGTGACCTCAATGCTGGGAGACCAACCCTGCACCTGTCCCTCCTTGGGGTAATTCTTTCCTTAACCTCTCATGATTCCCAGCGTCTTTCAGGCCAGGATTGCAAATACTTGTTAATCCAGGTACCAGTTCTGCCAGCTGGTGACTGCTGCGGGGGTGGGGACCTGGGGACCTGGGCTGAGTCAGTGCTCAGCAACGAAGGGAGGCCGGTGGATGAGCGGTGTCTGCAGGGGCACAGACAGGACACGCAGGTGCTGCGCCCGCACCAGACCAGGGCAGCTTCCAATTCAGAACAGCCGGCGCCCTGGGCTCGTGGAGGCTACTAGGGACAGACATCCAGCGAGTCCTGGACAGCTTACCGCCCAGGACACGGACTACGCGACACTCACCTCCAGGCCCAGCTCCCCCTGGACCCCTGGAAGCTCTGAGTGCCCACGCTGCTCAGGGCGAGACGTCCCGTCCCAGACCCCTCTGCAGCCAAGACCAGGGTGCCTGGGGATGTTGCGAGCCTGGGCTGAGGCAAAGCATCGTGGCCCAGCTGGCGCCAGCCTCCTCTGCTCCTCCTGGTCTGGTCCAACGTGTGTGACTGCCAAGGCTGCTGTGCTCACCCCCGCTGAACTGCTCGTCAGAGCCCCGACCGTGCCCTCACCCCCGGGGGCAGCATCCTAGTCCCCCAGCTGCCAGGAGCCTGAAGCCCTTGCGGGTGCGAACTGATACCCGCTCAGCTCGGTCCTGCACCTGGGGCAGCGCCCGGCCAGCTGCCACCTCGACACGGAGGGGGAATCGCACCAAGTGACAGCTTTAAGGTGCACGTGCCCTCGAGCATGGAGGTGGGTGGGGCAGGGTGGCCCGTGGGGCTCAGGTGCTCTGGGCTGGGTGCTTACACTCACCCCTAGCAAAGGAACGACACCACCTGTCAATGAATTCCGTCCTTTTGACTTTTTTCCCACAATATGAACACTTTTCTGAATTTGCTGTCAGTTATCAATTCCCCGGTCATCCCTCCCTGAACACATGTGTGCACAGATGTACACACACAATTCCAAGGAGCCCCCTCATGACTCTATCTGCCCACATGCCCACCAAAGAAACCATCAAAAGGGCCCTATTCCCGCACATGACAGGGCCTTCGACCCTTCCTCCCTGGACCTCCCTTCCCTCCTCAAGACAGCCGAGGCCTGCTCCTGCACTTTGCTCGGGCCTCGGTGCAAATGTCACCTCCTCAGGGAGGCCTTCTCGGAGCCTCTGCCCAAGGCAGGCCCTCCCATCACCTGTCACCTCCGTGCTGAGCTGGACCACTCTCCTCGCTACCCACCATGGCTTCCTGCGTGCGACAGTGTGGCTGCTTCTCTGTCCCACAGCTGGAATGAAGCTGGCTGTCAGCTGCGGGACACTAAGCAGGTTCACCTTGACCAGGCTCAGTCTCCCCATCCTGTAAAATGGGTACAGTGAGAGCCCCTGCCCCACAACGTCACTGTACAGATGCAAGGGGGCGTGAATGACAGCCCTGCACGCACGTCTAGCCTGTGCTCGGTAAATGACCCTCACGACCATCAGCTGTCACTACTGCCACCTGTCAGCCCCATTTTACAGCTGGAAGGCATGAGTCCCGGCAGGCGGAAGCAATCGTCGCAGTTTGCCCAGCTGGTGGGCCCGGGGCTGTTCCAACTCCAATTCATGTCTTATCGTCACAACCAGAAACACTCTGCCATGGACAAGGCGGGTGGCCATTAACTCAACCGGGGGACTTTTTCGCGACCAGCCCAGCGGGAGAGGTGGTGGGAAAGCACGGCGTGCGCTGTGACTACAGCTGGAAAGCTCTCGCTGATCACCTGCCTGCATAATTCTCTCCCCATTCAGCGTGAAAGTGTCATGAGCCCCGTGCCAGGGCGGGAGGTTGGTAATCAGCACTAGTGAAGGGCACCCATGAATTGTCCGGGCTGCTCAGGGCTGTCAAAGCGCAGGTCCTGGAACAAGCCCAGCGCAGAGGAGGGTTCCTGCACCGCAGACGAGACTTCTCCTCTCGTCTCCTCTCGGGGCCTCTGTTTCCTGGTTTGCAACACAGGAGGGTGGGGCTGGTCACCTGCAGGCCCTTGGCGTGGGCAGTCTGCGATCTCGGAGATGCAATCCGTGTGCCTCGGCCCAGGATCAAGAGACAGGGACGGGGGTGGCGGTCGGAGGTGACGGCCCCCCATACCTGGCTGACCCGGAGGCTCCAGGTGCACAGCCCACACTGACATCAAGGGAATGAAGGGGCCACGTGGGGACCCCAGACCAGGCACATAGGACTCCCAAAGAATAGCCTGCGGGTGAGAGGATGTGTCCAGATTGCCGCAGGAGGCCAGGCTGCAGAGCGACTGGGTGTTCAGTGCACAGGGAGTGAGCTGAGCGGCAAGACAGCCCCCGCTGCCTCTGGTCCAAGTACACTGAAGGGGTTACATGTAAGTCGGGGCGGGCCAAGGGGTACCCGGAAGATCTGGGGAGGATCTTTCTTCTGCCAATGGGGGGGCGTCCTTACAATGCGCTTCCAAGACACCCCCATTCACCTTCTGGGCCAGTGACAGGGGTCTCATGCTAGTGGCTGTCCTTCTTGACCTCACCAGCTGCCCACAGGCACGAGACTTTTCAGCTCCTAACCCGGAATTTCAATCTGACCCAAGGAGTTCCCGAAGCCGCACTTCTCACCCCAGGTACACACACACTTCTAGCTTCCCCACCACCAAGCTGCTGCCTCCACACCCTCCTACTTCAGCGTTCACCGGTGACCTGTGCCCGCAGGAGCCTTCGTCACCTCTGCTCTGCTCAACATATTTGTCTGAGCATCTGCCCTCCTCAGGGACTGCAGCCTCCCGGGCACAGGGGGTGGGGTTTCCCCTAGATCTGTCTGCCCAGCCCAAGCCTCGTCCCAGCAAAGGGCCAGGGACTGTCTGCAGAGTGACCTGATGGATGGACCAGCAAGCACAGGCAGCAGCAATAACTGTTAGCTGCCTTCCTAGTCTCCACACTCCCCTCTCCCTCAGAGAAACAACTTCCATTTTATTAGGGTGGTAAACTGCCCAGCTAAAATTATTTTCCAGTCTGCCTTATAGCTAGCTGTGGCCAATGGATTAAGTTCTGGCCAATGAGGTACAGGTGAAAACTGCTCTTTTAAACTTTTGACAAGGCTATCATAGGCAACTAATTCAGCTGAGAGATGAGCTCTTTCCCCTTCTGGCTATGTGGAATGCAGGTGTAATGGCTGGAGCCCCAGCAGCCACTCTAAGGCAACCCTGGGGATAAAATCCATAAACTTCCATAGAAAGATGGAAACCTGGGTCCCTGATGACTGTGGAGCTGCCGCACTAGCCCTGTGTGAACGAGAAATAAACTCTCTATTGATTAAGCCACCGTTACTGAGGGTTTTGTTACTTGCAAATACACCTGATCTTAATTGATACCAAAGCAGAGAAAAGATAAAAGAAGAGACATCTCCTCTCTTTAACTATAATTTTTCTAGTCAGGAAGCCACCTTTACTGGCTTGCTGTCTGCTCTGCAGCAGGCACTACGCCAGGGCTAGGGGTTCAGAGATGAAAGATTCTAACGTCACTGAGCTTGCTGTTAATGGGTGGGAAGGAGAAAACGTATCCCAAACCAAGGGGACGACGGCTGTCCTCGAGACTGGTGCTGGGCTCAGGGACTGGCCCAGCCTGAGAGGCCTGCCCCTGCAGGAGGGGCAAGCCCCCACTCTCTGGGCCTCCTGTGGGAGGCTGTGTGGCACCGCCTTGGAGGAAGGTGCTCACATTAACAACTAACCCACTGCCTCCCAGGCACATTCTAAGCCCATTTGGTTGAGCTGAGCTAATCCTCACCACAAATCCATGAGGTATGTGCTGCGTTAGCTCCATTTTACAGGTAGGGAAACTGAGGCCCAGAGAAATCAAATCAGCCAAAGTCGCAGAGTTGGAGTCAAACTCGGGAATCGGTGTCAAAGCAAAGGCAGTGTGCTCTGAGGGGACACACTAAGTGCTTTCCACACCATGCACGTGGGGCACCCGGATGCTGGTGGTGACCTGACGTCAGGTGAGCGGCAGATCCAGAACCGACCCAGGGCCCTGAGGCCCCAGAATCTGCACCACAAGTCAGGGCTGCCGCCCCCACCCCAGGGTTCTGTGGAGACCCTGCAGGGTGACTCCAGCGTGGACCAGGAACCTGGCTCTGTCCTGATCCCTGTGGACATCATTTCATCCACGTGGATGTCAGCGCTCACCGTCAGCCACTGGGGAGGCTCTGCTCCTCTCACTCCCCAATTTCAGCTTGAAACTCATGGGAGAAGCTGGTCCAAAGCTATTCTGAACAACCGATGTTTTAACACCAATTCACCAGAGCACGTGAATAACTCACATCAGGGGCGGAGGGGCAGGCAGGGGCCCGGGGCTCACCTTGAGGGGCAGGTAGGCAGCCACGGTGATGCGGGCGCTCAGATGGATGTGGTCGTGCTTGTAGCTCACAAGGACGGCGGTGTAGCCCTGGGCCTCCGCCCTCACCTTGACTCCGCTGCAGTGCTCAGACCCCGGCCGCAGCCGCCCTGCAAAAGAAGAACCATGTGGTCACCGGGAACTTGCTTCGGCAGGGAAAGATGGGACAGGCAGACAGCCCCTCTTTCATTCTGGGCTTGGAACGAAACCTAGTGTGTTCAAACTTACAAGTTCTAAGTATAATTCCTGCACGAAAAAGCGTACATCATAAGCACACAATTCACAATGTTCCTGCCCCCTCCCCCAGAAAACACACTTTGTATCCAGGAATGGGAGCGAGACACAGTACGACTCACACCCTTGCAATCTCCCACGGCCCCTTCCAGGCACGAGCCACTCCCAGGAGAAAAGCACCGTGCGCTGGCTTCTGACGGCACAGCCTGACTTTGCTGGCCGTGTATCCACACAAAGGGAGTTGCTGAGCGAGAACCCTTCGTATCTGTCCCCTTC